AGATTAGTCTGGCTCAATCAGCTTCAAGGTGTAACTCTGCGTTAGCTCGCATAGCTACACATGAGAGAAAGGGGGGGCACTGTCATAAGAGAGTTGCAGCAGCCCCAAGAAGAGCCGTGTACTGCCACGAGGTATTGTGTGACGGACTCAACCTAACGACTCCATATCCCCACATACTCAAGTGCTGATGTTTTGAGGCTGTAGGGTTATGGCATCACACTTTGGGGCAATGAAGATCGTTGATCCAGTAACGCGTGGGCTGTAGAGGTATTTCCAAGCATTAAAATAACATAAAGGGCTGAATGATGACAGAAAATAGATGTCGGCCAACCAAAGCCCCGCTGCTCAGAACGAGTCGGAGATGGATATAGTGAGATGCCCACTTGCGACATTTTAGACGGGCCATGTTATATGACTCGATGCTTTTGGGAAAGACTAGTTGGCGACCGTTGCCAAAAATGTCGCAGGTGATTGGCTGTTTTAAACGACTTCACTATAGACTTTTAACAAGGTTGAAAATCGCAACTACATCAATGTAACTGTAACATGTGCGACTCGGCTACTCTACCTTTGCTCAGGTACCCGCCCTCATTTCTCTCTCGAGCCAATTCAAGAAGCAGCAAGAGGTTGTAGCCCTTACAAGCGTTGGGCAAATTTCCTAGGGTAAGCAAAGGTGCTTCTTCAATTGAGCCCAGGACCTCTCATCAAGTCACCGCGTACAGAATAGTCCTTGCTTTCTAGTGTTGTTATACATTTTTGCCTTGCTCTGCAGACTTTAAAAGCCGGAGTGATGACTAAATCTGGCTTGCTCCATATTGCTGTCGGGCTTTCCTTCCTCGACTCGAAGCGGCGGGCATGTTGTGACGCGTCTAGGGTAGGCGTCGCATGGCTGTGATTTCTGCGTTGAACAGCAAATCCATGCCAGAAGTATGTTATCTGAATCAACTATAAAGTCTGTCAGATATAGTTGCATTGGAATGATTCGAGTAGTTTGATACGTATATTCAACCACTAATCTCATTTCAACCTGGTTTTATTTCATAGAGTTGGGTGGGAGTGGCATGTAAGTTCTGCAGAAATTTCGGTTGTAATTGAATCTTGATTAAGTTTCGAGTACGGGTGTACTCACTAGATAAGAAAATACAAAGATTTTCTGTAACTAAGCTATTTCGACATGGAAACGCCAAGACACACATATATCAACATGTTCTCTTTCAATCAATCCGAGTGTAGATGAAAGGTCCAAGTTCATTTCACCTTTGCTGATGACTCAGCAGCCTCGCGATGAATGCCTCAACCCATCAAGATTCCCATCCACCACCACATGGGCTTTTCTCGGTGTCTTGCCCACCGTAATCCCCTTTCAACTGCCGGACGAGCTTACTCCGTACTTTTTTTTTGTTGCAGCCTACAAAAGAGTCCACTGTGGCTTTCCCGCAGCCCCAGTGGTGCTCAATCGAGCTTGGCCAACACGATATCGAAAGGGGGACCCCTCCCTCCACACCTTTGCCGAACTCTTTTGAGGGGGAGGGGGGTGCGGGCATAGCAACGGGTGAATCGGCAACGCTTAAAGGATTCCACTTGAGCGGGAAGGAAAGGATGGTGCCATTCTGAGCAGAAAGAGAGAGAGTCTACATGAATACTCCATTCTGCGAGTTCCAGAAGGCCCGCTCAAAATGCCCCTTTTCTGTCCAGGCACCGCAGTAAGCACGGCTTACTATGGATTCAGGCTTTCTCGTTTCGATGCATCCGGTCTAGTGTCGAGCCTGTTGGCCGTGCAGAAGCCACATCGAAGGACTGGTGGAAGCCGGCAAGGAACATGCAAGGAAGACAAAGGGGAAAAGAAAACGCCCGTCAGCACCATCGTAACCCGTTGTTGCTCCCACGCAGGTTCTCGGTACGCTACAATTTCGACTTGCGTCCAATGAGGCCATCGTGGATGAACCAGAGTTCCTCCCTCTCCGGCCCCCTTGCCAGTCCCAAGACACGCCCCCCCCCCGAGACCTCTTTCTAATCTGGCATCGTTTCCCGCAATTTAGCGTCGAAACACGAAGGAGAGAAGCCTTGAGCTGGCTATCGCTGGCAGTCGCTGCTCGCTCGCTAGCCCGCATGCATCACACCATGCGAACCAACCCCCAACGCAGATGTAAGGTTCTGACAGCCACGTTTCGTGTTCCCTCGTTTCGGTCAAGGACTCGCTGATGGAACACGTGTGAGAGCCAGGGGAATGCTCTGGGCCGGGTGAGGCTATTTGCTGGTTACACTCAAGGAATGCGACCCTGTTTTAGGCTGAGCTCATGGTTGGAAGCCGGTTCCTTGATTCTAGAAGAATAGCTGGAACGAGCTCGTACATGATGCCTAATCAATAGTGTTGCTCCAAAACTCAAAATAGCCAACCGAAAAGTGTCGCCTCATTATGGGAGAATTGCATAGAGTTGAGCATTTCACTATTCTCAGCTCGCAGCATTGTTGGTCCATCTCGATGTGGTACATGCAGCTTCACTCCAACATCGAGTCTGGAAATAGTTATTCTCTGCGCAAAGCACAATAAGCCGTGAACAAAGGCCTTCAGCTCGATTATCTGCCGTGTATCCCATCTCGGGCGAAAGAGCCATCATCGCAATGCTGGCTTGGCGACATCGAGCTCTTTGCGAGTCCCGCGCGTCCTAGAGCAGGAAGCCGTCAAACGGTACCTACCAAGCTGTAACCTCTCTTCGACCAGGTCCTACATATCTCGAGCGAGACGGCCGACACCCGGGGCAAGGCCTGTCTTCTATGCGGGTACCGGTGGGCTCTCACCCGTTGCCGTGAAATGCGTTCGCGCGCGCGCGCAGGGGTACTTGATGCGCCGTGACGATAGAGGCGAAGGGGGGTAAGGAAAACGGTGACCTCGGAGCAAGTAGGCGTATTCATGCAGCTCTGGTTATTCCCATCGGTCGTGCATGGTATTTTTTTGGGCAACATCAGCCGAGTGCGACGGCGAAGCTTCAGTTTTAGCTCATGGCTGGCAACAACACATTTCGGAAGAGTGTCTCAAATCTAGTCTTGTTCGTTTGGTTTCTTGCTGCACACGCCCCTGATAACCCTTGTGCAGCATTACTACTATATTAATCCTTTTGCAAGCGCCGCGTCTTCCTTGGTCAGTACTCGAGATGGTGGCGTTTTGGGTGGTCCCTTGACATTGCCCGTGTAGCCTCCAGGCAGCAGCATTCTTCACCTCTTGAAGTGAACTTATCAAGCCGCAGTATATATGCTACACCTCGGTTCATCGTGGCGTTTGTGCCTCGTCTGAAATGAGACGAATTGGTACGTCACATTGCCCCTCCCACGCCCGGCCAGAGTTGAGTTCCATGGTCCTGCAACTCCGCACTAACTGTATCCCGTTCCTGCTCATCCAACCTACTTCCCTATTCCGAGTGACACCCTACATCTTCTCTTTTATGGCTTGATCTTCTCTGCAGTGTCTGCACGATGGAGATCCTATGAATTTGCGATGAACTGTATGCACACTCCCCCCCTTCCTACTTGTCGCTCGGTCTCTCCGAAGCCACAACCGGCTATCGGCAGAGGTCGTCCACTACCAATACGGGATTCGAGAAAAGGAGCAACGACGCGTAATAAACGAATATGGCTCTCGGCTTTGCTAGTTGAGTTTCTGTAATTACCGTGCAGAGCTATGTTGCTCGGTATCCTTGAACGTTGTGAAGTAAAAAGCCACGAAATGCGAAAAGGGCCGTATACTGTTTTTTTTCGCGTGGATGAAGAACGTCACCGCTTCTGCAAACCGTGCGAGGCTCGATATTGCACTGAAATACACCTTGAAAGCTGTTGCCTATTGTTTTCTAGAGACTGACAACCTTGTAGACCTTATTGTACAGTCTGCCTTGAGGGATACTATCGCATCACCATTGTTTCGCGGCTCAAACTTGACCCTATACGTTGATCTTCCGAGACGGACTGTTCACCCCCACGTGAAACGCGTGCAATGTAAAGTGAAGACTGTGTAATTGGTGTAACTAGATATTTGCCGTGTATTCATTGAGTATCTGGTCCATCAAGGCGGAAAGGCATGATGATGTTGTTGTTGCATTTTGATGTTTGGGTCAATGGTGGCCAACAAGCTGGCAAGCACACTGTGAACTATAACGCGCACCACTGTACTTATATGCAGACTGTGCATGGAAATCTAGTGACAGTTGATGCAGGTTCTATGAAACATCCGTCAAAAGTGACAGAGTCAAATTTGCGTCGAGTCATGGTAAGAGTTGCCTTGATTGGCGAAAAGCAACGAATCGCTGCGTGTCAGAGACCTTAGGGTTACATACCTGTGAAAGCAGAGGCAATTTGGCTTGTATACTCGAGTCAATATAGTTTGTCTCTCAAAGTTTTCTTCTGCTTCGTCATGTTGCATAGCTTATGTGCATTAGAGCCGACGCTGCATTCCATTTGAGGCTGACTTGTAGTCGCTCACAGGCAGACTCAATGTGTCAATGTTCCAGCCACATGACGGATCCGGAGCCGTTGATTGCTGGGAACTTATGGTGTGACACCCATGCTCACGAGTTTCATATCACTGCTCGAGACTTTCAGAAGTTGCTTCCTGCTAGATGATGAAAGCTAAATGAGGCGCAATGTGAGCCATATATCCCCAGTACCACACAGGGTCAATTTCAATGCATAGTCACTCGTTGTAATGGCTTGGCCGGAGCACGCGCTTTTCTGATCCTTGATTAGAAGCCTGTGGTCCTCGTTGCTGATAGGTTGTGTCGTGCGTTTTCAGACGACCAGCTTGCTTTGGTATCCCAAAGCAAGGGTGACTGAATTCTTTCAAGCCTGCATCACAAGATCTTCAAACTTTCCGTGTTCAATGATGTCGTCATTCGTTCACCTCGCTACCTGTTCAACGCCTGTTGTAAGTGACATGTTAAACCACCATGATTCGTGTGTCAAGTAGATTCGAATATATTGTTTTAAATTCTGAAAAGTTGATGCCATATTTCTTATTTGTGGAAGGATTTGACCTTTTCGACCTCGTCGTAGCTGCCCATAAAGATGCCGGCGCGGTCGTGGATGTGTTCGGGCACTACCTCGAGCATGCGGCGCATCTGGCTGTCGACAGCCTGGCCACCAGCTGTTTCCTCGTCAGTTTTCATTCGCTTTCCCTTTTTTTGGTAGCCGCCTGCGCATAGACTTACCATTTTCAAATACCATCGCCATGGGGGCGCACTCGTAGAGAATACGGAGCTTGCCCTTGGGGCTCTTCTTGTCAGCCGGGTAGGCAAAGACGCCTCCGTAGAGCAGGGTGCGGTAGGCGTCGGCGACCATGGAGCCAATGTAGCGCGACGAGTAGGGCTTGCCGTTGGACTGAGCCTCTTTGAGGGAGTTGAAGTAGTCAATGGTGGGCTGCTGCCAGTAGAGCGAGTTGCCCTCGTTGACCGAGTAGATGGCGCGGCTCCTGGGCATCTGCATAGAGGGGTGGGTGAGGATGAACTCGCCGATGCCGTTGTCGAGGGTGAAGCCATTGACGGTGGAGCCCTTCATGGTGAGGACGAGCTGAGAGGAGGCGCCGTACATGGTGAAGCCGGCGGCGACGAGCTCGGTGCCGGGCTTGAGGATGTCGGCCTTGGAGCCGGCGGAGCCCTCGGGCAGCTTGTGGACGGCAAAGATGGTGCCGACGGAGACACCGGCGTCGAGGTTGGAGGAGCCGTCAATGGGGTCGCAGGCGACGGCGTAGCGCGCGCCGGTGGCGTTGCCAAAGTAGATGATGTCCTCCTCCTCCTCGGAGACGAGCAGCGCGCACTTGTTGGAGGAGCGCATGGCCTCAATGAAGAGGTCGTTGGAGATGACATCGAGCTTCTTTTGCTCGTCGCCGGTCGTGTTGGAGGATCCGGCGAGGCCGGTCAGGTTGACGAGGGTGGCGCGGCGGATGTAGTAGGCGATGGACTTGAAGGAGAATTGGAGGGCGTGGCAGAGGAGGCTGCAGGCGAGCGATGGATGTGGTTAGCGAGAGGACCGAGGGGTGTGGAAGAGGGGGAAGGGCACGTACGTAAAGTCACCACTGGCCTCGGGGTGCTTGACCTGCTCTTCATTGAGGAACCGGGTCAAGGTGACGATGCTGGTGTTGATTTTTTCCGAGTCTCCGTTTGTCATGGTGGCGGTATTGTGGTGGTTGTGGTGAACGGATGAGAACGAGACGGGTGTAATGAGGAAAAAGGTTATATGGAATAAAAGGCAGTGTAGAGGGATTAGTCGAGGGGGAAAAAGAGGGAGTATAGTTTTGATCAAGGTCCCACGATGCACTGCGGCCGAGCTGGAGAGGAGGTAGGTGTGTCGCGTATTCTCGGGATGCAAAGCCCGAGCATTAGCTGGGGCCCGGAGATGGCGGGGGAGGGGCAGAGTGGGAGAAGAGAGTTTTGCTGGCAAGGAGATGTGCTGCGCCGACACTGACTCGAAGGATAGGGAGAATAAAATTTCACCCAAATAGAATTGCCAGCATGTTTTCCTTTGTTCTTTTTCTTTGATAATTTTACATGTATTTGTTTGCACATTTATCGACACTATCGTGAAGCCGTCTCGGCCAGTCGGCCGGCTCATGGCGGCGCTGAATCGATTACCACACCATTACCATATGATTGGACAGCAGTTTGCAGCGGTTGAGCAATCGGGTCTAGACTTTGTGCTGGTGCTGGGCGGCTATCCGAGGCTTCCAGCGTGTGGTGGGGGGTAAACGGACATTATTACAGCGGTTTCCACGCGCAATAAGAGGAACTCTACAGTTCTACATGCCGTGCTTTTGCGTTGTTGGCGCGCCGCCCGTTGCCTCTGCCCGACGCAAAAAAAGCAGTAAAAAAAAAGCCCAAGCCAAAATCTATATCCTCTTTTTTGCGGGCTCATTGCTCTGCAAGCCAGGCGCAGCAAGAGGATTTTTCGGGACGGTTGGTTGGAGGGGGGATTGGTCACGCGGCAGAGGTGAGTTTTTTTGCGAAGAAGATGGGACGGTAATTGCAAAGGAAAAGAAACGACGACGACGAGCGGATGCTGGCCCGACGATGCAAGGCGCGAAATCAGCCCAAAAAAAAGAGAAGGATTGAATCCGCCTTTTTGGACAAGATGCGTTCTCAAAGAAGACATGTCTCTCGCGGAAGGATCCGGCTTCAGAGTTAGTTATTTCTTGTACCTGAACTAGTTTGACCACGCTGATAAGTAGATGGCTCGGTTCATCACCGGCGATGATGATGGAAGAGACGCCAATCAATACATAGCGCTTTCCAAGTCCAACTGATAACACCCAATGTACCAAGTCTTATAACCGGCTCCGACCGCCGTGGCTGCACTGACGCTGTAGGTACCTATTCGTGGCCGGTGCGTGCCAGATAGTCTAGACACATTGCACATGGAAAGGGAAGCCATCATCATTTCTCCTTTTGTTAGCCTCTGGCACGTGCAAGTAGACTCGATCCAGGTTTTTTTTTGTTTTCCTCATTAAACTTGCCCGTGTCGCAATGCAAATGTTCGTGATTGCATAAATAATAATAATGTTAATAATCCCTTCCTTATCCTTGTCGATAACGCCCACGCAAACGGGCGCTCTCTCACGTGCTCCGGCCGGCCGGCTAACTACCTACCGTAATTACTCCGTATGTACCAGAACTGCGAAGGTTAATGATTCCCCAGACTTGTCTGTCGGTTATGTGGACTGGAGGAGGGACGCAGGTTCTCTTTATGCATTTCACTCTAGCATAAAACGCAAATATGATGGAATCAACCATAATAATTAGATTATAAGGAAATTGCTGCCAAGCACTTTTTTTTTTTTTGCGACTACAGCGACTTCTTAGTAAACCAACCCCATGGGCTTACGGCCACTTGCATCATCCTTTTTGGCTGGCCCTTCCTCATCCATCTTTCTCGGCCCTCTTCTCCCCCAGCGATAATTATTGTGGGGGGTGGACCTCGGCATGTGCGCGCGTTTCCCGCCCGTCATCACCTCATGCATTCTCTCCGGCCACGGGCGATTTCTGTCTCTTTTCTCCAAAACCCGTCCTTTTCTTTTTTACTCTTTTTCCCCTCAAGACCTCTCGTGACTGTTTCCAACAAGCTATTCCTTGTTGCGTTCTAATCCATCTTCTGTATACCCCCATATCTCCCACAACAAGCGCAGTTTGTTCAACCACCACTTGTCACCACCAACGCCACCCATCCTCACCAAACTTCACAAACTCACACAAACTACCGTCACCATGGTCGCCGACGCCCTCGTCTACCACCCTTCCGTGGCGCACTACCTCCGCTTCGCCGCCACCACCGTCGGCAAGGACAAGCTCCTGCGGCTGCTCCAGTACTTTGCGCGCTTCTACTCGTGGTACCTCCTCCGCACCAACGGCACCCCCGACGCCATCGCGCCCTGGAACGCCATCAAGAAGCAGTTTGGCACCGTCCGCAAGGTCCTCCGCTTCGGCAAGAACATTGAGCATCTCAAGGCCGCCGCCGCCGCCGCCGACGCCAAGAACATGGACCCCTTTTTGCAGTACGCCGCCGTCGGCCGCCAGCTCGGCTACGCCACCTACCTCACCTTTGACGCCCTCGCCCTGCCCGACGTCCTCGGCATCCGCAAGAACCCAAACGTCAAGAACCTGACGACCAACGCGTCGCGCGCATGGGCCGCCGGAATCGTCTTTAGCATCGCCGCGCAGGCGTACACCCTCTTGAGGCTGCGTCAGCGCGAGGCGCAGCTGGACCGCAAGGACGGCGAGGGCGTCATTGAGAGCAAGCGCATCAAGATGTAAGTCTTCTACTTTCTCTTCTTTTGCCTACTTTTTTCATCTTCGTTACAAAGGTGGTTGAAAATCACCAAAATTGTGATGAATAAACTGACCAGTCCACAGTGAGAGAGCCACCAGCCAGCTCCAGCTCCTCTCCGATCTCTGCGATTTGACCAACCCCGTCTCCGCCCTCGGCTGGGTCGGCTTCGACGACGGCCTCGTCGGTCTCGCCGGTACCACCTCCAGTTTGATTGGTATTTACAACCAGTGGCGCAAGACGGCCTAAGTCACCCAGATTATTTCATCTCTTTACTAGACTCATGCCCGAGTCGTCACAATATCCGCCAACGTGTATCAACATCTCTCTCCAAGAGCTGGCGCCTCTCAACTTTACCCACCAGCTTGTCTATCCTGCCGTTTCGTCGGCCTCGGCACGTCATGACGAGTGACTTGATCTGTCACGGCTAGGCCACGTTGAATGTCTAAACTGTCACCTTTTATCCATGCTGCAATTTCATCAAGGCACACGCTTTTCATTTTCAAACTCTTAGGATAACACTAGCAAGGAAAAAAAAAATAAAGAAAAATGAGCTCCACATCAAAAGCACAAGTGTCCAAATGTTTAGTGATGTAGCCTCGAATCGCTACAAGAGTCAGAGATGTAGAGTAAAACAAGATAGCAAGAATGCCAAGAATGGATAGTCGTAGCAAACATTAATCAGTTCACGGTAGCCCAGATGTGTGTTGGACACCTCTGGTAATTGGCCCGTTTCAAAGTCAAAAGTGGGCAATCCCGTGTTTGTACAAGGCGCGTTCCAATCTGCACCGCCTTTGCTCATGATACTCACCCGCGTCACGCTATTCTTCGCTCGTTCTGTTTGCCGGCTTGGACTCGTCACGGCACCGCATTGCGCGAGTCATCTAGTACACTCTGGTCAAGGATGGTTCCAATGGCAAAGTGTCAACCAGAAACATGACGAGCATAACAAGACAAAAACTTGATCCGAGACACGACACAAGGAGTGGGCCACGACACAAGAAAAAAAGATTTACCAGTAGCGTCCACCACGGTCATAATCCCGCCCACCATAGCCTCCGTCTCGGGGATATTGCGGCGGGCCCTCGCGGGGTGCAAAGTCTCTGGGAGGCGGAGGGCGATCGTAGGGGCGGCCACCATACGGACCAGGCGGTGGTGGCGGGGGATAGTCCCGACGGTACGGCTCGTCGTAGTGGCCTCGCGGTCCGGTAGGTGGGGGGTAGTCATCCATAGGACGTCGGGGAGGCGAGTGGTATGCCGCCCTATCATCGTAGTAGTCGCGACGAGGACTACGTTCTCTGTAACCGTACTGCGGTTCGTCCCGGCGCGGGCCGTAGCCTCGTGGGGGCGGTCCACGACGGTCATGCTCGTCAAAGGGAGGCGCACCGTAAGGACGACGGCCAGGAGAGCGCGATCGCCCGCGCTGTCGAGAAACGGGGACTTCAGTCTGAGTCTACACGCGGGTAAGAATTATGCGGTGATCGGCAAGAACTGGTGGCTTACATCAACGATGCACTGCACGACCTTGCCCTTGAACTCGTATCCATCGAGCTTCTCTACAGCGGTGCGCAGGTCACCGGCATTCTCAAACTCGACAAAGCTAAGTCTGTGTCAGCTGCGAACAGCACATGTCAGCTTATTTTAGTTGCTCACCCTCTGCCTGAGTCTCGAGTCGTCTCGGAATACACGACATCGGGTCCAGCCTGACGCGCAAAGTCCTTGAGGTCCTATATCCAGAGTCCATGTAAGTGGCCGGTCAGGTGATGGAATAACGAAATTGAGCAAGCTTAGCCGCAACAGTGCAGAACCCGGCTTAGGAGGAGCGTGCGGCCAGCGGAGCTAGGGTGTCGCGTCCAAGGCGGCGGAGAGTGCAATCAGTGAAGCCGGGCAGTCCCAGAGGAGATGCGGGAGTGTCGTCCTTGATGATGCAGTGTTCCAGCCGGTGCAAGCGCACAAACCAAGGCCTTTCGGCGCAGAGCTAGGGGAAGCATGTCCTGGAAATCCTAATGCAGGCGTGGGGAAAGCGGAAAGAGGAATGGAAGACAGACCTGCCAGCTGGTTTCGTTGGGAAGTCCGGTAATGGTCATTCGGTGTATGGTTCGTCGGGGCCGTGGAGGGGCTCGATCGTGGTGGCCGCCGCCGCCGCCGTACCCTGGCGGATCGCGGGGACGAGGACCACGCGCAAACTGGACGGTGAGACGAGTTCCTTTAAAGTCAGATCCGTCTTGAGGATTGTTAGCGAGGGCACTTGCTGGGAGGGATTCTTGGCTTGTACACGTACGAAAGGCTGGTCAAAGAGGGTAAGATAGATATCCGAGGTTAGCTGAGTCCATGGGAGATAGAATTGACAAGGTGCGATTTTTTTCCTCTCGAGCAGTCGCATATCCTTGTTGTCTCGGTGAGGTTGAAAGCAGGCGCCACTAACCAGGAACGACGTCTCGGGCATCCATGGGATCCTTGTATTCGATGAAGCCAAAGCCGTGCATGAGCTTGACCTCTGTGATTTCTCCGGTGCCGTGCGTGGCAAAGTGAGCCTCAATATCGGCCTTGGTAGCTGCAGCGGAGGGGCTCGTGTCAGTAGATGGGGTCGCCGGGAAAGATGTACGGTTCAGAGGCCGAACGGTGGAGAGAGAGATGGACCATTTGGAGGGAGGTTCCCCAGGTAAAGCCGGGTGTTGGAAACCTCGTTGGACATGATGGGCTGTGGGCGAGCCTTTTCGCGGCAGCAGCGGGAGCGTGGTTGGTTGATTCAAGCGTTGCGAGCGAGCCCAGGTCGCCGTCCAGTTGGAGGAAGGGAGATGCCAGAAGGGGCGGCTGCCTGGAATAATCCGATGGACTGGTAGTCAAATAGAAAGATGATAAGTAATACAAGGTCCAGATGGGAAAACGTCCGGAACGCGCGCGACAAAAGGAGGGGATGGGAGGATTTTGATGCGTCCTGTAGGTGTGGGCGGGTTGCAAATCCAGACGAGGAGAAGAGGAAGGCGGTGGTGCCAAAAGCCCCAAAGAGGTGACCTGTCCTAGGCCTGAGAGAACGTGGCTGTCTGGGGGCGCAGAAGGATGCAGCAGACGACGCACGAGGCAGGGCAAAGGACACAAAGACGGCAACGGCAACCTAGGTGAGAAGAAGGGAGGATGACAAGGCCAAAAGGGAAAACGCCCAAGCACCAGTAATAATAGCCCACTCTTTTGTCTGTGGTAGCTTTTTATCTGGTTGGCTGAGTCGTTATTGTTTTTTAGCACCAGCTGAGCACTCTGTCTTGCCCCGGAATGTCCGCGCAGGATGCACTGCAACCCAAACCAGTTGGAGTTTGATAAGGTACTTGGCATTTGGGTACCTTGGTACCTACTCCATTGCAGTGGCTGCCTTGTGTTACCTCACAAGTCACAACCACCGATCTATCTAAATACCTACCTACCAATCCCAGCCGACCACGCTTTCCGATAATTTCACTTATCAACCGCCTCGTTCATGTGTGACGACTCTGCAACTTGTGCTGCGGCGCGGCAATACAAGTCTGCTAATTTCTCGGCTTCTCCCCGCGACCTGAATTAGGTAGTGTGGGGTTTGGCTGGAGCTTCCAACTCCTGGTGCGCAAGATGTAATTAGTTAGGTTTAGCGGTCGCATTTCCCACCAGGCCCGCCAAGTCCACTGTAAGGTAGCGAATCGTGGCGTACAAACGGCCAGCACCAACCAAAAACCTCAACCGAGATAAGACAATACCTTGGTAACACGACGATTGTTGTATCCGCTGAGCTGCTCCCAATAATACTCTTCTGCTCCCGCTTGGTCAAAGACGGTGACACGATCGATGGCAGACGCCGACGCCGACGACGCGCAAATCAATTGTACCACAGCATATGCGACTCGCCGTTCCTACCTAGGTAGGTAGTCTGAGTTACTTACTACCTACCTAGACGACGCCTTCACCTCGGGCTTATTTCCAGCATCCCGCACATCGAGCTAGCCAGCACGCCAACCAAGCGGGTGCGGCAGTTCCCGTCCCGGTTTCTCCGTCGTCGCTCATCTGCAACCATCACTTTGCTTCTTTTGCATCAACTCGTTCAGTATATTCTCTGTAGCTACAAGGGGTATCCATATCTGCGCCGGCTTCGCCTGCCGCTCACCGACTTCCTCTCTACCTTCCGGCACCTATCACTGGTAGACAACCCAACCGGGCCTTGCCTCCGATTGACTCATTCGCCAAGTCTCTTTGACTGTCCCGTCATACTTCATCGTCAAATAATATTCCGATAATCTCGTCCAGTACTGTGAATGCCAGGTGCGCACTAGAAGCAAGCATCTTGTTAGCCAGTCTCCTCGCCGTCTTCAATGTTAATGTACTTGCTTGAGTCTCGAGTTGTTAAAAGTAGCAAACAAACGTCGGCTTGCTGCCTGCGCATTCACGCGCCCAACCACACTGCCGGCCAGGTCGGGCACCAGCGTCGCCAGCATCAGGCTCGCCTCCGTACGCGTCTTTCTCTTTTCCGCTGCGCTTCGTGGCTTCTTGTCTCGTGCCAGCTGTCCTTGGGGCCACATATTGTCTCGAACCAGACCAATGTATCGTAAAAGCGGCTCCTCTTGAGCCAGCATCTTGAACGTGTCCCGTACTTTGCGTTCAATGGTGCCCCCCAGCAGCTGCTGAAGCACCACCACCACCGCCCTGCCTCGTAGCCAATTGTTGCCACGGTTGAGCTCAAATACTTCCAAAAAGATGTCGCAAATGGGCTTGATAAACGGTTCCAGCTCCTTGCTCTCAAAGGCGTTCAGCTCTGCTTCTGCCTCTGCTGCCGGAAACGACTCTTCGTCGGCATGCAGCGGTGCCGAGTTGAGTTGGTTCGTCGCAGCTGTAATCAGGTTTTGGCCAGCATTTGAAATCTGATCCAGCACTGGAATATTACCCAGGATGTCCTCCATGCCATCCGTCACGGAATCGTACAGTCGGCTCACAATGTCCTTTCTATCCTCCCGGTCAAGGAGGTTCTCCCCTTGCGTAATGGCACTCTCGGACAGAAAGGCACGCAACTCGCGGCTTCGGCAAACATCCGGCAACAGCAGGAGCTCTTGCAGAAACTTTTCCAGTGCAACCCGCCTTTTGCGTAAAAATTCGCTCTGAAATTTCATCACCACTCTTCTGCCAGGAAAATCAAGATTCCGCACCGAGGGGTACCTAGAGCGCAGCTTTTGATGGAGGTCGTGAAACTCGCTGTACCGTCTTGCGACGACCCACGAGGCAGCAGGCATTTGCTCTCCCGCATCACGCTGCACTTCGATAACGTACAGCGCAAATTCCCTCCCGTCATCTTCACGCCCGACTTGAATGGACTTGATGCTGACAGTGGATCGCCCGTACAGACTGTTGTCACTCTCCTGCACCACGTACTGCTGACGCTGAAGCTCTTTGCGCCTCACTTCTCTATGCAGACTGGCTTTTGATTTTGACAGGATCCGTAACTCAGCAGTGTTGTTTGTTAATTCTGCTTTTCTCGTCAGAGATTCCAAGATGGCTTCTTGTGCCATTAGTCGATCGATGTCATTGGTCAGTACTGTGATAGCCTCGGCAAGGCCAAGATCCCCTGGCGCGGCAGCATGGACCTCATCTTCGTCGTCAATGTCGTCATCGTTCACGTCGTCTCTTTCGTCCGATAAGTGCTTGTCTTCATCTGCAAATAGATCGTCGTCAACGAAGACACCTATTCGTGAGGCTGCGCTCACCAGGCCCAAAGATGATAGGCTCGGCTTTTCCCCTCCTCCAGCGGTGGGCCGACCAACATCAATCGACCCGCGGTTTGAGTCCTCTTCATCTCCAAAGAGGCCTCCAGAGTTACTTCCGCCAATGGTTTCATCACTCGTAAAGAGCGAGGCTCGCAGATCTGCGGCTGTCTGCGGACGTTCATCCTCCATGATGTTATTCAGGGCCTTTTCAACAGCCTGAACTGCCTGCGTATCAGGTTTGTGTTGTTGGGAATCATCTTGCTCAAGATTAGGGATAGAGTCGGCCATATTGTCATGCTCTATCTCGTCGTCGTAGTAAATGGGATTGTTGGTATCCTCATCCAATGATCTTCTGGTAGCAGCAAGCGGATCCATGGCATCACTTTCGCCGCCATTAGAAGCGAGATCTGTCGATGAACCGACTCTTCGTGCAATCAGGTTCAAGCGCGCTAGCGATTTTGGTTTGGATGTTTTGCCATTTGAGCGTCCGTTTGCCTGGTGCGGTGTGCCCGTATCAGATGCTGACAAGGCCATTGGTGCTGACTGAGTAATACTGCTGGTTTCTTGCGAGGCCAAGCACTTGTAGTAAAGGTCTGACTTTTTGAACGCCTGAAAATACTGGTTCTTCATAGTTTCCAAAGCCATGCTTTGTACTTGCAATATCGATCTGCGGGCCTTGAAGTATTGTGCTGGTGTGGCGGCCTTGCCTGCCTGCAAGAACTCTTTGACGTTGATCTGTGACGACTCGGGGACGTTGAGTTCTGACTTGGACATGTATGCCTGTTGGATCTGACGCACGTCCAGCCAGTCCGAATTTGTCCACATGGGCAAATTGGAGGGTAGCGCTTCATTGTCGGGTCCATCATCCTCGAGCGGATTCCGAATACCATCCACCACCAGCCAAAACTGTACGAGAGTCATCATCTTTTGTCGGTCCATGAATTCCATGAAATAAGAAAGACCAGATGAATCTCGCAAAAGCTCGACCAGTCCAGCGTTCTCGAGTCGAGATGTGGAAGTCGACTTGATTATTCTTTGTGCAGTTGGAGCAGACGTGTGACCAGATCTATCTCCTCCCGCTGCTAAATGGGCCACTCTCTGATCCAACAGTCTCTTTCCCATCTCTAGCCGGCGCAGGTACACTTGATCAGGATTCTCCTCCAGTGAGTCTCGCTTGAGCTGGCTGGCGACCTCGTTTCTGAAGCGTCGGGCATCTGACAGATTGCTGACTTTCCTAATGGCGCGAATAAACTTTTCGAATTTGCGTTCGCTGTCACCTGATGATATGCGGGGAGTTACAGAAGTCTTGACTGCTCGAGGAGCTGGCGAAGCATGCTGGTCAAGCGCGGCCCTCAATTTGCGGACTGTCGATCGATCCTGTAGCATCGAGCGACCCATGTTTTCCATGATCTGATTCCAAGTGTCTGGCTCCGAAAGAAGTTGCATAACAGGTGAAAGAACAGCGCAGCTGACGATCTCCTTGACAATGATGGAAACGGCCCGGCTTGACAACATGTGTCGAGGCATAACTTTGGGCAAGACTCGAGCTATCAATCCCCTAAGGTAATCCTGCTGAACTATTTTCATGTCGGGAAAAGACAGGGACGCTGCGGGGTGAAGTTTGCCTTTGTTATACTTGGCGGCAATAGCAAGATCCAGCTCTTCTGACTCGGTAACTGATTTATTTAATTTTTTACCTCGAATAGATCGTTCTGCTTCGTAGAAATCCCGGAAATGCGCAGTCAGTATCGGTACGACCCTGCTTATCGAAAGTTCGACGATGTCCTTGTCGCGAAGGCAGTCAAGCAAGCTTATGATAGCCAGGCGAATCGCGCGGTCGACCTCGTCGGGAAATTCGGAATTCGGGCTGATATTGGTGTACCAGACTTGCACAAAGTCGCGAAGAACCAAATCGAGCAGATTATCGACGGCCATGGCCACACGCTGCGACGGTAGGTCCAGCGAGGGACGCTCGTATGCCTGGCGTTTGCGCAGCGCGGCGACCTCGTCGCGCCAGCGCTGGGGGGCTAGGAAGAGGGCAGCCCTCGGGCGCGGTCGACGGTCGTCTGGGTTGCGAGCAAAAAGAATCAGAGCGCCGAGAAGTGCAAAGAGGCCGACGAGCAGGCCGCCGCCAAAGGCGTAGCCCGCCCAGCGAAGAGCGCCGAACCAGCTCACGACATAGCCCCAGGCGATGAAGGCGACGATGCTTGCGATGATCACATCTCTGCGCTTCAAAGCCATGTCGGCGCCGAGAGCGATAATACAGAGAGCAGAGCAGCCAACAAGAAATTCTGAAAGAAACAATGCGACATGGCAAAGCTGTCAAGCAACGAGTCTAAAGGAAGATGAGGGGGGTCGGCGTGGTGGCCAGAGGTCCCCAGTCTTGAGCTCTCTTGCTTGAGTGGGGGCGGGGGGGGGGGGGTGGCGAGTAAGCCTCAAGCCCGAGGAGGGGTGGC